CAGGTGGCTTCTTTTTACATATCATGAGGTGATCAATATTTTATGCCCCTAGAGATCTATGGCTTCAGTAGTATATCGTTCTGTTTAATTTAATACACTTGATTTTGTAGCATTCACTAAAGTAGGCGATTACTTGTAGCTAATTACTGAAAGCTAGAATTCAAGCATTTCATTGGCACATGTTGTTTAAAACTTCTGTTAAAATGTGATTAAAAAAATGGGAAGGGTAAGTGTGGGAAGCATTTCTTCATGAAGAGGGTATTATGAGAGAGTTTAATAGTTAAAAATAGCAAAATGCAGAATGTATTTCCAAGGAAAAAACTGTTTCTTAAACTAGATTAGATTTTATATATACATATATATAAATTACTCCCTTTCTTGCTCTTGCCTGAGCTTTGAGTGATAGCTGTACCAGGGAGTTTTATGCTGACTGGATACAAAGTGTCACTTAAAAGAGCTCATATAAACAGCTGAGGAATCTATCCTGTGGTAGACACTATCTATTCTTAGAGGATAGGAATACACACTGTTCATATCAGTGAGTTTCTGAAGAATTTCAAGTACACTACAATTGATCCAGTTAATTTTTTTTAAAACACATAAGTGAATACAAGTGTTCAGATCACTAACTTTTCAACAGTTTAGCAAGTTGTTTGTAGAGTTGGGTAGTTTAGTTATGGATTTTTTTTCTTCCAATATAAGAAGTCAGCATAGCAGATGTGTGGGTTTTACCAGCAACATAAGACTTATATTTTGCATAATTGAGTGCCCAAATATGTGCAAAGGAAAATATAGTCCACAAATTGTCCTGAGGTTCTAACACATCTGCAAAACTAAATATACTTTATAAGAACAGAATGTCTTCCTCAGATTTTCAGCTCTAATCTCCCTCTAGAGACAGACTTTAGCAACTAATCTATGGTGCTTGTTCAGGCTAGACTGCTTTTCAAGATGCCCAGACAAGGATCTCTCCAGTGAAGGGTTTCGGTTCTGAAAGGAGAGAAAGTGAGGGCATCTGAAACTTAACCTATCCATTCTCAGTCCCCAGAGAATCATAAAAACACAGCTTCTCTTTAATGAAAGTGAAGTCACCTGCATGTCTACGGGAAGGATGTAGTCTCCTCTCTCCCAGTCACTGTCCTTGTAGGAACCATGTGCCATTAGCTCTGCTAAACCTCACAGTGTGTTGATGTGGGGTTTTTTGTGAAGTATCTCCTCGTCAGATTTGCCAGCAGGCTCTACCTGACACTTGCTGTCTGCCCTACAGACACTCCTTATGTTCCCTCCTACCCGCTTCAGCAGTTAACTCGAAGGTTCTTTAAAAAGTTCAGAGCTAAATGCAGCCCCATTCCATCTCCAGCAAAAATGAAGTTGTCAGTCCAGGCAAAAACTACCTTATTTTTTTTAATGCTAACTAAACTAAAAATTATATATAATCTATGTAGTTTGGGCCATGCCATTGAATGGGGAAAAACATATCAAGGCATTAAAATGCCTTGATAATGTTTTAAGAGATACTCAGAAGTCATAAAAATAGTGAAACATGTTTCAAAGAGCACAGTAATATGCTTAAAAGCCAACCAAATATGGCAGCTGTGGCCCTCATACTGCCTTTACTGATAAAAGCTCCCATTTATTTCCAAGTTACTATTACATTTAAAGAGGTTTTAATAATGAAAGCTGATTTGATTGGCAATGTCCACATTGAATCTTGTTGAACAAATGGCATGGCACATTTTGCTAATTAATTGGAGAAAGCTGAAGAAAAGATTAAGCAAAAGCAATCAGACTTTTTGAAAAGTCTTGGTATAATCTTCAAAGCACCATTTAACATAAGCCCTGTTTCTTCTACCAACTTGCTCGTTAACTTGTAGCAAATACAATAGTAATGACTGTCAGTTAAACTAAGTCATTGAGGGAAGCCATGTATGCTGTACACGACTTGTGGAGGCAGTGAAGAGAATTCTTAAAGCAGGAAAGTAATTTAGCAGAGTAGTTGCTAGAAACTCTTCAGTGCATGCTTATTATTGTTGAAATAGTGTTTCAGACCCACAAAACGTTAAGCTGTGGAATACACGTTTGCATCATTTTGTATGAACTGCTGTAATTCTAGCCACTGAACTGCAGATCTGCATAAACTGTTAAAGAGTACATTAGAGAAGAAAGCTGAATGACAAGCAGTTTATGTGCTGTTTTATTCCTGGACATCACTTTGCCCACACAACATATGTTTTGGGCTGAATTTAGAGGCACACTCATGTCCGTTGTGTTGCATTAGTCTGACACAACAAAATAATTGATCCAGCTATCAATCTTATACAAATTGAGGGAATTAAAAGAGAAGAGAAGGCAGACAAAGCTCTATTGCTTGCAAGCAAAACAATAGCATATAGGTGTTTCAATGGCATCATTACTGATATGGGGCATAAAGACAGTAAATGCAGCAGATATTGTAGTAGTATTCCATAGTGCAAGAATGCCTGACGCTTACCTGAAGAAATAGCTGGGGAGAAGCAATTGAATTCTCTGTGTCTGAAACTGAAGGTACTCCCATGTTATTCTGAGATCTCATTTTGCTGCAGCAAGTAGCTGCGTTTGTTTATTTAGTAAAAACTGTTGCCCCAGCACTGTGTTGTCACTAATATCTGAGACCAGCACCTAGAAGTTAATCTTTCCAGAGACAGAGGGCCTATCATGGAACTTGGCTATTAGCATAGTATATTTCAATCTGACTACTAAGAAATAAGAGTTCCTACCATTAAGCTTTAACTTAACTCCTTTCAATATCAGTTCAACCTGTTCCTCACTGGAATCCTATTATGCTTTTCCAGTAAGGTGTTAAGACAACAACTCAGACTTTCTATTTATGGATCTAGAGACTCTTAAAATATATTCTCAACTAAGTGGCTATTCCTTTAATCTGTGACCTTAAAATTTGGCAAGAGTTGATGTTTTCTTGCTCTTATGTACTGAGCTGCCCATCGGTCACTGCTCTGATCCAGCTGGTGCTGCACCGTTTGCTCCCATTGCTGCTGAATATGGTGGCAGCATAGCTCAGTGGAGACACCCACCGTGAACTTACCTATATTGAATTGTCTGTCAGCCAGTGTGTCCCCACCCATATCTTCAGTGTGGGGCTAACAATTAAGATTGGTTCTTGTTAAAACTGGACTAGATTAAGATGAGAAAGATTAACTAGAAGCTTGAGGACAGGGAAAAGATTAATGATGATAGTCAAAATGGAAATTTTTCAGCCAGATAAAATTTAACAGTGGCCAAAAATGGAAGAACAACAAATTCTTCTGCAAACTTGCCCAGCATCAGGCATCACAGAACAGCTCAGGGCATGACCTTCTGCTCATGCCCATGAGCTCAAAGCCTGCAGGCATACAGGGAAGCACACACTATTTTGACTTCATATCTATCATGACACTTTGCTTCCCTCTCCTTCCAGCCTTGATTTCTGCTTCCTAACAACATTGCTGCCTTGTAGCCCTTTAAAAAAGTGATTAGAAAGAGGGAAAGCATAAAAACAATAATCAGTAGCAGACATCAGGAAGCAGATCTGCTCCATTCAGGGTGGAGTCATGACCTCTCTAAATGCAGACCTATCAAAGAGAACTTCCTAGATCACTTAGAAACACATCATTAGTCCTTGTCACACTGGGACTTAGCTTCTTGTGGAAAAATCATTAGTTTCTTTTCAGATTCTCTGGAGAATTTCCAAAAACCTAGCCCTTGCATTTCCTGAGGTTGTTCGTATGCAATTTCGTATTTCAGCCCTTATTAGCCAGCACAATATATGACAGTCCAAGCTTAAATTCGTAATTACAGTAGTCTGCAAAGACAAAGCAGTTGGGTGCTCTGCCATCATGGCTTACACTTCTAAATGGAGCTGGACTATACCAAAATCATACTTAGAGTAGCCCTCCACTGAGGTTATGAAGTCCTTGGAAGGCATCAATTTAGGGAGCGTGTATACGCAGCCTGCTCACAGCACAGCAATCTAACAGCTACGTTATGTGCGAGGCCATTAAGATTTCACTTCAGAGATTGCATTAAAAATGCCCTGACCTTTAAATGGAGTTCAGCTTAGTAGTACTTTGAAAAAGTGTAAAGTTAGTTGTTTATATCAGAGCAACTTGCTATCTGACTCTCTTATCGTTTTGTTGATGCAGTCATGCTAGGATCTACGGTTTTATTACCGTTTTGCAGGGCCAGAGTTCATTCCTCCCAACTCTATCCTTAGAAACTCTAATCGCAAAGTGATTGTTAACTTCATTTAAAAATGACACCAAAAAATCAACTTTTCCTTAGTCTACTACTCACCCAGAGCTCTTCCTAATTTCTTCCTAGGAGAACGTTACCCTCCCACGGATGGGCAGCTCTATATTTTATGAGAGCCTTTTTCCCAGGAGGCTTGACTTCTAAGGTTGCTTTCACATCGTCCTTTGGGAGGCTATAATTCCTGCAAGACCCTCAGCTTTTAGGAATGCTTTTTAGTCCAGTCCACACCTTTTCCTTTTTATGTTTTGGCTCTTAGATAAACTTATTCTTGCAGATTAAAGAAATCCAAAAAACAACACCCACAACCACTTAGTTCTGTTGTATTTGTGGTTCAACACCAATGATATCAGATTCAAAAAAATCAATACTCTGGGTGAATTTTGGTTGCAACAGAAAGATTCAGAATGTTCATGTCTCCTGACGATTGGAAATAATTTTCTCATAGCATTATTGCATGTGTCTGTCTTTTAAAGAATTAACTTATACCAAATTATCTGTAAGCCTAGAATTGGGAAAGCTAAAGAAGTTTGCTCAGTTATGAAAAGCAAAAGATACTTACAGCGTGGCTTTAGTAGCAATATGCCAGAGTATAAAATAATGTGCTTGCTTTTTTTTTTTTTCTCTTTCAGCAACGTTTCTGCTTGAGAAATACACATTCACTCAGCAAAACAAAAGCAACTTTTAAAGGTTTTTCTCAGTGGAAATTGCTCTATGCCCCATTACCTGCTTGAGTGAAACCAGACTAAGAACTCTGTCATGGCAGCTTTTCTGCTGGGAGCTGTGTTGCTTGTTGTTCAACCTCAGATAGTGCCTTCCAGACCAACTATAAATTCAAAGGCTGAAACTTCTTCTCAGTCTGTTCAGAGGGAGCTTTTAAAGAAAGCATCTCAAAAAAATGACTTCAAGGAAAACATTAATTCTAATGGATCATGCCGGCAGCTGCCACAGACTATCATTATTGGAGTGAGAAAAGGTGGAACAAGAGCTTTGTTGGAGATGCTGAGTCTTCATCCAGATATTGCCGCAGCAGAAAGTGAAGTTCATTTCTTTGACTGGGAAGATCATTACAGAAATGGATTGGAGTGGTATATTAATCAAATGCCATTCTCTTATCCCCATCAGATCACTGTGGAAAAAACTCCAGCATATTTCACATCACCTAAAGTGCCTGAAAGAGTTTATAACATGAACCAATCCATGAGACTACTCCTTATTTTAAGGGACCCAAGTGAGAGAGTACTATCAGATTACACCCAAGTGTTCTATAATCACATGCAGAAGCACAAGCCGTATCCATCCATTGAACAATTCCTGATTAAAGATGGTGAACTCAATGTGGACTACAAGGCAATAAACAGAAGCTTATACTACGTTCACATGCAAAACTGGCTGAAATATTTTCCTCTTGATCATATTCACATTGTAGATGGGGATAAACTAATCAAAGACCCCTTCCCAGAAATAGAGAAGGTAGAGAGATTTTTGAAGTTATCACCACAGATAAATGCTTCAAACTTCTACTTCAATAAAACTAAAGGCTTCTACTGCCTAAGGGACAGTGGTAGAGAGCGTTGTTTACATGAGTCAAAAGGACGAGCACACCCACAAGTAGATACCCGATTACTAGAGAAACTGCATGAATATTTCCATGAACCCAACAAGAAATTTTTTGAGCTTGTGGGCAGAACATTTGACTGGCACTCATTTGTGGCAAGTTAGTGGTAAGCTTCAGAACCTATGTTCCAGTGTACATTTAAAGATTTTAAAAAGGGCATTTAAGCTATATTTATTTGTAAAATCCATAAATACTTCTGTACAGTATTAGATTCATGATTGCCATATATACTAGTTATATTTTTCTACTTGTAAAATTTGAAAGCATTTTGTATTGTTTTTCATGGTTGTTAACATTGTGTATGGTGTGTCTATATGAAGAAAGTAAATTATTTCACTGCAGAAGATGCTGTCTTGAGAATGTGTTGTCTTTTTAATAAATAAGAAATTCATTTCAACAGAACTGTTCATAATTATTTGAATACTTTGGCCTTTCTGGATTATTCTGGACTTTCTCCTCTAATTGCTAATGAATATGCTAAACTTTACATTTCCATTCTTCTTGCATTACAATGTGGTTTAATAATTTCTTTTTCTTTTGAAAATATTGTTATAGTTGGCAAATTGTTACATCCTGCTTTATAAAATCATTTCCTGGTGAAGTGGTGGTACTTACACATGTTGGGGCATGCACACTCAAAGGACAATGGAAGTCTCTGTGTAATATGGCATTTAAACTGCTGTACTTGCTTCATATTTATTGTTGCAAGTGCTTCTCATTCTTTGGCAGTACAGTGCAGACTTCATGGCAAATTTTTAAAGATTCTATGGGGACCAGCTCATAAAGTCCAGAGTTAACTGCAGAAATACGGTCAACATGAAAACTTCCTACAGCCTCTGAATGTATATATGCTTCATAAAGAAGGAAGGTTGAGAGAAGAATTTAAGCAGTACAGGGGCACTTTCAAGGTTGCTTATGACTGTTTCTACGTTTTATAGCACATTTATGCTTTGCCATCACTAAAAATGAACACTTGAACCAGAAGAATTAATTGATCTACCTTCTAATAAGCAGCAACTTCATTCATATAAATATTACCACACTTGTACCCCATTTAAGGTTCTTTTCTATTAGTTAAGCAGATGTTTTGTGCAACTGAAAAATGCCCATGGACTACTCTTCATTTAGTCTCCTAAGAACCATGATGCCAAGTCTTGATTAAACTTGTGTGTTGTGGAATTAACTCCAATTCCAGGAAGTTTATGATCTTTTATCTGCTAAAAATGGAAATTAGATGTTAATACATTGGTAAAAATTACAGCTCTCCTTGTCTAAAACACTTATGACATCTTATTAGCCATCAATTTCTGGAGTTAAGAGTTAATCCTGTTTCCACACAAGGCTTGCTGTGCTACTTTCATTCTGAGCTCCTAATTTTCATTTTATGATCTTGAGTTTAGCAGTTGAATGTGCAGTGGCAATATCCTGTAAATCTGAACTTGTAACTGATTGTTACAATAATTTTATAAAATTTAAATATAGATTCGTTAATTTTTTTTTCTGGTGAGATGGTGCAAACTTGGGCACTATGACAAGATACCATCTGGATGCAAATATCTCATATTATGCTGTTTGCATGAAAATTTGCAGATGCTGCCCCTCTCTCCTGCTCCTTGTGCACATGCCCAAGCTGTATTCAACCTCAGAGAGGTTGGTGGTGTTTTATAAAGTAGACCTTTGACAAAAGCCTACGATGAAATGGTATTGTACTCAATAAAATATTTTCTGAATTGCATCTTTCCTTTCTCATTTTTTCATGAGTTTCTAGTCTCCCTACAGTCCCAGACTAAGCCATACCACACTCACTAACTTTTTGGGAAAGGAAAAATACTACCAGAGTATGTGACCAGTAGCCAGAGGAGGACAAGAAGTCAGAGTTGAATCAGGTTCACCTGTAGCATATCATACAGGGCAGCATAGGGTGTAAGTGTTGATTTGCGAATGCCAGAACAATATTGACACCTGATGTTGGTACTGAGAATACGTTTAGATGTATAATGCTTCTCGATAACAGTATATTGCTTCTCACATGTTCCCCTCTGCCCAGTATGTCTTGTCTCTAGAAAAAGAAGTAGAGCATGAACCATTCATGGCACTGTGTTAGTGCTGGGACCTCATAGCATGTTCTCTGTAGGATCAGGAGGTGAACTGACCTCTTCAGGGGATGTCTTGAAGCAGAAGTTCACATAATTCATTCCCTAGGCCCTAAGTTCAAAGGGGCTCACAGACAGTGTGTCATACTGAATGTGCAGGCCTTGTGTAGGGATGGTGTGATTGTACAATACCTTGGAGGCTGCACATTTAGTTGTGTGGTAGTTCTGATGGTAAAGGACGATAAATGACATCCACGCTAATAAGAATGGCAATATTTACCTGCTATTAATGCCCTGAGTTCAAAAGTTACAGTTCATAAAACTAGGACTGAGTGTGAATTTTCAGTTTGACAAGAGCAACATTCATTTTCCACACATGCATTACTGTATTTAAATACAAATACTATCTATTTCTAAAACGTGCTAAATAACAGCAAAAGCCAAAAGAAGAAAAAGTGAAGAGAGAATGAAAGAAGCTGAAACACATTCCAGTTGGGACTGTAGAAGCACTAATAGGAAACTTTGAAATCATACCATATCTATTCATAAAAGAAAAATAAATAGGCCTGAAAATACTTTTCCAGTGTTATGCAATACAGGTGTTTATTTCTGTAAAACTCTGCCATCTCAGGTTTAAAGTACAACCACTTGGGTGTTGTTCCAGAGGCCTGGTTCCTCAGGGCAGCCAGCCAAGTCTGTGATCACTCTTGCAAAGATAAAATAAATACAACACTTTTATGAGAATTCAGTGCCCGATTCAAAGCCTTCCACTCTCCCTGAGCAAAAGAAGCACTGCCAATTAAGTCATTAATCAGGGTGGCACTGCAAGACTAAGTCTTGCCCTTTGCTTCACAACACAGATTAGCATGAGTCTGTGAAAGACAGATATTGTAGCTGCAGAGGACAAAGTTTAAGCTATAATGATTATCCCATGGACACTGCTGAAAATGTATGGAAAGGGAAAGAAGTCTCCTAGGAAAAAACCCAGAAGTTATTACTTCATCAATAATATTGATATATCCATTTATTGTTGGTGCTGCATGATACTTTTACATGTGCTTTGCTGTTCCTTGTACCTTTGGCCTGATGTTGTAGGTGAAATAGCATCTACTGTGCTTGAATAAGTCAACATTGTTTTGGAACACTTCAGAAAAAAAAAATCATCCTTTTTTAATCTTGCTTAAGGCTATTTGCATTGTGAATCTGGTGGTGCTACACTCACTGATGAGTGTGTAAGACTTACCACCACAGAATATTTTAGATGAATACTTCATTACTTTGGGGCTCAAAGCTGATCATTTCATGTTTCCTTGCCTACGTGCATTTGCAGGCTCAGTTTCTGCAGAAAGCCAGGATTCTCTTTCCTTCTTGTCATCCACACAGATTTCAAATGTCTAAAGAAAAATAAGTTGGGGTAAGGCATATTTCCATGTATCTATTTTCCGCTTTATCTATCATGGTTGCCCAGACATTCAAGAAAGTTCACACAGGCATCCCAAAAGTAAGAGGCTGTAGATCAGAACCATTTCTCAGGGGAATATCACTTCTCCTTTCTCTTTTTCAAACTCCGTAACTTGAAAGTCCTATTTTAGGTCACGTTGTAAATGAAATTTTATGGAAATATATTTAGATGTTCTCTAATGCAGTACTCAAATAATAAAAAGTACAATAAGGCAAAAGTATTAAATTAATACTGAGGAGACCTTATTGTGGGGGATGTCCTTGCCAATGTCAGGGGAGTTGGAACTAGATGATCTTTAAGGTCCCTTCCAACCCTGACAGTTCTATGATTCTATGATAATGTATGTCAACAAAGTGTATTGAACTTGCTACTAGGTATATGCCAGCTGAAATAGTTAGAAGTATGTGCCCCTATAGCTGCAACATTTTTTTTCTCATTCTTAACCCGGTAATTGCTGCTTATATGATCCTGCCTAGGCGCCCAGGCATGCTGGGAGGACTGTATGTTCAACGTTAATTCCTTCATTTTGCAATTGTATTGCAAAGGCCAGTTATGGATGGAAGCCATGCAAATATCTTCTGAGTGAAAAAAACCTTTCATTAATATCTTGCTACCAAAAATAAATGAAATTACATTTATGTCTCCTGGAAAATCACCAAAGGAGAGCAGTGCTCTCTTTTCTTGCAACAATAACATATCCAGGGTAAATTTTCAACTTAACTACCAAACAACAGTTGATGCAGTTTTTAAGTTAATAGTGCAATAAACTCAACAGTGATGTTGTGGATTTTAAATGCCTTTTGGGATATATAAAATATGTGAGTCAGGGTGGGGAGCAGCTGGATGCACAGGAACAGCTGGTCTCATTGGTCTGAGAACATTTTTTTAATGATAAGGGATGTGAAATTTTTGGTTAGGATATCACTTTTTGTTGTCTATGAAAGCAATGTCTTCAGTTAACTTCCAAGTCAATAATCGTGTCATAATGACATCATCTTTTTACTTGCTACTGACTTTATGCTCTGCCAAAACGCAGTTTAAGAGACAAAACCCAAACAGCAGGTGCATGAGGGATCCCTTAGTGTAAAAAAAAAAATAAAATAAAATAATTGGAATACAACTCAGACACATAGCTTCAGTCATGAAGACAGGTTGACTTGAACAAAGGACTGTTCCAAAGTGAATGGCTGAATTCTTTACTTTATTTGGATTAGGGTTACAGAAAGAGGAATGTAGATGTATTTACATTTAAAAAGCAGAACAACTGACATGCCCTCCCCTCCTTGGTTTTCAATCAATCATTTAGCAATATTTTAAAAGCTTCCAGGACTCAACACAATTCAGTCCTGATAACATTCAGATACAAAATAAAGAGCAGTTGCTGTATTTCTTACACCAGACAGTCTCAGGGTGTCTTCTATTACTGAATTCTGTGTAATTCCTCTTTCCTGTCCAGTATACCACTGTATCACACCTGTCCTGTAAATAACTATTATATTAGCACTCTATAAGAAGACAGAGCCATGTTCTGATGGTATCCTTATAGACTACTGTTCAAATGAATGGGAAATCACAGCATTTTGGGGCCCAAAACATACTTTAAAATTCAGCTTATTTGGTCTGCATCATTGCATTACAGAAGGAACTATTGTCACTTCATCACATGTGAGTAGTTATCTAATGCATTTGGTAAATAGAAATGTATAACCAAAGGAACATATTTTTCTCGTTGCTAGACTACTGTTTATGTTATTGGCAATATTGTGACACTTTTACCCACACTAGAAAT